GGGGGCGGGCGGGGGGGTAAAGGGAGAAAAAGGCATGAGGTGTTTTCTCTGTACACAGGGGTACACACCATACAGGGCAATAGGGTGAGAGTGAGATCAGGGTGAAAACCACCGAAAAAGGTGTAGGTGTTTTCATTGTGATGGCAGTAAGTGTGTGAATCTGTGAAGAAATACTAAAATAGTGAAACAGTGCTGATGGTGGAGGCCACTGGACGGAGCACAGATGGAGTGTCTGGGCTCCGGAGGCGGTCTCAAAGTGCCGGGCAGAAATTGGAAAGCAACATGTGGGGCGTAGAGCGCAGTGTGTGGTGTCCGAGCGCCAGGGAGGAGTTGGGACAGCGAGATGTCGGCAAATTCAATGTAATTTGGAGTGCCTGGGCTTGGGAGGCGGTCTTCAAGTGACAGGCAGAGATTGGAAAGCAACATGAGGGGCATGGTGCGCAGTTTTTTGCGGCGTCGGCGTCCGAGTTCTGGGGAGGAGTCGGAACGGCGAGATGTGGACAGATTGAATACAATTTGGAGGCGAGGAGCACCGACTGAGAGTGCACGGCTGGAGGAGGCGGTCTCAGAGAGTGCCACCAGCCAAAGATTTGCAGAGAGGAATCTGTACATTTTGCGCACTTTGTGCATTTTTCTTTACCCCTCTCCTGGAGAGATCCCTGCAAAGGGGCGGTAAAGAATATCCCCCCGTGATGTTGTGTAGGGGGCAATGTCCGTCCCTGTCGCTCGTGTTCTCCTTCACGGCCAAGCAGACAGGTTCTCCTCTCCTCTTGCCTCCTCATTAGATGATGCATAAAACTGTCTCAAATATCTTTACTATGACAACCCTCAAATGTCAGCCCTCAAGGGTCAGCCCTCAAGTGTCAGCCCTCAAGGGTCAGCCCTCAAGGGTTGTGAATTGAATTTGCGCTTTGTGGTTGTTGACGACACTCGAGGGCTGTATCCACCAAATTTCAAGTCTCCAATGGTCTGGAATTGCCGGGCATGAATTTCAAAGAGTGCGGTGTCGATTAGATTGCAGAGTTTGGGTGCAGCACGGAATGAGCTTCCGCATGGATTGAGGAGGGCGGTCTCAAATTGTCAGCAAGGCAGGTATCTGGAGACCGGCATTTTGGAGAGCGAGATGTCTACCTACAGGTGGCGCAGTTTGGCGGAGCACGGGTTGAAGGGGAGGCGGTTTCAAAGTGCCAGCCAGGACTTTGCAGAGCCGCATTTTTGAGAGTGAGATGTCGTCGATGGCATGGCGTGCACAGTTTGCGGGGGAGCACGGGATGAGCGCATGCATGGGATGGAGGAGGTGATCCCGAAGTGCGGTGCCGGGCACTGCGGAATTTGGACAGGGAAATGTGTGGAGTCTGTGGACCTATTCCGCAGTCGATGGTCTGGAAGTGCCCGGGCGAATCTTGCATAGCGAGCTGCGTGTGTGGACACATTGCCCAGTTTGTGCGCATTTGCATCCCATCATCAGAACATTTTCTGTTGACGACAACTTCAACCTGGGAGCAAGATTGAGAGACCACCTGCTGGAAAACGGGTCCAGCGTTATGGCAGAACACAGATTGAGAGAGGAGCTTTATGGAGGCTAATGGCAGAACAGACGGCCGAGATCTTGTAGGCGCTCGTTAGATTGACAGCCATGGATTATTTTTTCTGAGGCTGGAATCTTGCAAACACTCACCACTGCCAGCTGACTGTCTTCAGTGAGAAAAGTGATTGATGCTAGTGAAACTTAGAAAAGAACATCCTTCCTATGTATGCCCTTAGAGATAACATCCTTCTTTGTGCAAATGTCTCTTGCTTGTTACCTTCTCCCTTCTCTTCCCATTACAGTTTTGAGAGAAAGTTGCTTTTTTGGTTTCGGCGAGGCGGGTGGTTGAGCCGGAACCCTAAACCCTAAACCCTAAACCCTAAACCCTAACCCGTGTTTCGTTATTAACTTATTGTAGCTTATAGTGGATTTTCATGGTGCAGTGGATTTTTGTCTCAGTTCCTTAGGTGTCTGAAAGCTGTCTGGACTTCCAGTTTTGGCGACGTTCGTGGAAATATATCCATTGACGTCACATGGGTGTTGTGTGGGGGCGCGGGGGGGGGGGGGGGGGGGGAATTGTATATTTATTATTTAGTTATTGTAGCTTATAGTGGGTTGTCGTAGCGCAGCGGATTGTCGTCTCACTTCCATAGGTGTTGGAAAGCTGTTTGGACTTCCGGTTTTGGCGACGGTCGTGGAAATATCCGTTGACGTCACATGGGTGTGGTGGAGTCCACCAAACAGATGCGAGTTTTTGGAAAAAGAGAGAGAGAGAGAGAGAGAGAGAGAGAGAGAGAGAGAGAGAGAGAGAG